CTCTTCTTCTCTCTTCTCATCCTCATCATCCCCTTCAGTAAGTCTTCTCATCCCATCTTCTGTTCAATTGCAGTCATTCAGTTATCAGGGCTTGTCCTAACTAAACTCGTCCAGATTCTTTTTCTAAACTACCTAATCCTTTCTCATCATCACCATGGCTGCCCCCGCTCAGAAGTTCAAGGTCGCCGACATCGTACGTGGCCTCTCAGATCCTTCCTCTCACAATATACTTATAAACATGTTAACCCCTTTCTAGTCTCTGGCTGCCTTTGGTCGCCGCGAGATCGAGCTCGCCGAGATTGAGATGCCTGGTCTCATGGCTATCCGCCGCAGGTACGCCGAGGACCAGCCCCTGAAGGGTGCCCGCATTGCCGGTTGCCTTCACATGAGTATGTTGTCTATGTCAGAAAGAGGGGTTAGAGACTAAAATCTGACTCGCCTTTTAGCCATCCAGACCGCTGTTCTCATCGAGACCCTCACCGCCCTTGGTGCTGAGGTCACCTGGACCAGCTGCAACATCTTCTCCACCCAGGACCACGCTGCTGCCGCCATTGCTGCCTCCGGCGTCCCTGTGTAAGTTCAAACTGCCATTCTGAAACGAGGCCAGCTCTAATGTCATAATAGCTTCGCCTGGAAGGGTGAGACCGAGGAGGAGTACCAATGGTGCTTGGAGCAGCAGCTCAACGCTTTCAAGGATGGCCAGAAGCTCAACCTCATCCTCGACGATGGTGGTGATCTGACCGCCCTCGTCCACAGCAAGTACCCTGAGATGCTCAAGGGCTGCTACGGTGTCTCCGAGGAGACCACCACCGGTGTTCACCACCTCTACAGAATGCTCAAGGAGGGCAAGCTCCTTGTTCCCGCGATCAACGTCAACGACTCCGTCACCAAGTCCAAGTTCGACAACCTGTACGGTTGCCGCGAGTCTCTCATCGATGGTATCAAGCGTGCCACCGACGTCATGATTGCCGGCAAGGTCGCCGTTGTTGCCGGTTACGGTGATGTCGGCAAGGGCTGTGCCGATGCTCTCCGCAGCATGGGTGCCCGTGTCCTCGTCACCGAGATTGACCCCATCAACGCCCTCCAGGCCGCTGTCCAGGGCTACCAGGTCGTCACCATGGAGGAGGCTGCTCCCCAGGGTCAGATCTTCGTCACCACCACCGGTTGCCGTGACATTCTCGTTGGCAAGCACTTTGAGGTTATGCGCAACGACGCCATTGTTTGCAGTAAGTGACGGGTTTCCGCTAGTTTCCGTGGCTTTATACTGATCAACACAGACATTGGTCACTTCGACATTGAGATTGACGTTGCCTGGCTCAAGGCCAACGCCAAGTCCGTCCAGAACATCAAGCCCCAGGTTGACCGCTACCTGATGCCCAGCGGCCGCCACATCATCCTCCTTGCCGAGGGCCGTCTGGTCAACCTTGGCTGTGCCACCGGCCACTCTTCCTTCGTCATGTCCTGCTCCTTCTCCAACCAGGTCCTTGCCCAGATTGCTCTGTTCAAGGCCGAGGACGAGGCCTTTGGCAAGAAGTACATCGAGTTCGGCACCACCGGCAAGAAGCCCGTTGGTGTCTACGTTCTTCCCAAGATCCTGGACGAGCAGGTTGCTCTGCTCCACCTGGAGCACGTCAATGCCAAGCTGTCCAAGCTCACTCCCGTTCAGGCCGAGTACCTTGGTCTGGATATTGCCGGTCCTTTCAAGAGCGAGATGTAAGTGCGCCTGATCTTTTGTGTCTGGTCCAAGCTAACGATTGCAGCTACCGCTACTAAGCATCTTTCTTTCTCGATGGCGTCGACGCTTGATATACCTTGACACATAGACCTTTTCAACATGATCACGATGTTACGAACAACATAAAGGGTTCTCTCAACTTAGAGCTCAAAAGTATTTGTCTTCAACGGCAATAAAAGGGGCATATAGGGGGTTTTTCTTTTCCTATTGGCTGTATGGGCTGGGTCTACTTGGGAGTAGGTTTGCATTCAACAATGCCTCCGATATTTTCTCGTTATTTCTTTCTTAATATTCAATCCGACTAGGTCGGGTCAAATGATACCAACGATGCATGTGAATGCATTGAATTGCATTGCATTGATCATTTCGTCATTCTGTCGTACTCGTCATCATATCGTAGGGTCGTATCGTCACTCCGTGTGGCACATGCGGAGCTTATTTCTTGATCTCAACAAATCTGCTAGGGAATCGGCTACGGAGATGGCAAACTCTGGATCATTGATCGCTCTCGTGTCTCGCACGACTGCAATTCCTGTCCCGTCGAGCTCGTTCTCGAGAGTGGAGAAAAGTGCCTCATCAGCTTCCCGGTCGTGGAAGGGCTGACCAGGCGTATCGAGCATGCTGATACCCGCCGCAGGCAAGATCACCCTTACTCGCTCCGGGTGAGCCACATGGGTCTTGAGCTTCTCCGCCATGAAACGGGCAATCCGCACACATTCCTCGACAGTCGTCCGCATGAGCGTCACAGTCGGGTTATGCTCATACAGCAGCCGATGACCGTCGCGAAACCGCGCCGGCACCGTCTCCCTTGGCCCGAAATTGACCATGTCACAGGCACCCACGCTGACAATCTGCGGGAGGTCCGCTTCGGCCGCCGCGATGAGACGCCGCGGGCCCGCAGAGAGCGCGCCGCCGACGATCTCATCGGCGATCTCGGTCGTGGTGAGATCGACCACGGCGTCGAGCTGGCCCTCGCGGATGAGCCGCTCCATCGCCTTCCCGCCGGCTCCTGTCGCGTGGAACACGTACACCTCGCAGTTGAGCGTCTGCTGCAGTCGCTCACGGATAGTGTTCACTGCTGGCGTCGTTACCCCGAACATGGTGATTGCTATCTGTGTCTTGCTGTTGCTATTGTTGGAGGGTGCTTGCGCTTGCGACGCATACGACACAGCCATCCCTGTCACGGCTGCGGCGGCGTTCGTTAGAATCCGGTTTAGGATGCGGTTCGCGCCTGCGACGTCGACGACGCTGTACATGAGGGTTAGGTCTGTCTCCTCGACGTAGGGCGATACATCGCCGCTGGCCATGGTCGAGACCATGAGTTTGGGGAAGCTGACGGGCAGGGCAGCGCGCATGGCGGCGGTTGCGAGGGCGGTGCCGCAGGACCCGCCTATACCCAGGACGGCGTGGATGGAGCCGGTGCGATGGAGGTTCGTGAGGGCTGTGATGGCGTGGCTGGTCATCCGGTGAATGTATTCTGGGCGGGGGAGATTCGATATTTTTGTGGCATTGTCAGTGTCAGTGTCAGTGCTGGTTAGGTCGGGGTGTTTGATGGCGATGGAGCTATGGGGGCTTGGGGTGCGGCCGATGTCCATGAGTAGGACGGCGCAGGTGTTGTGAATGAGGAGCTGGGACCGTGTGAAGCATAGTTCGTCCCATTTGGTGTCGCAGGTACCGATGAGGACGATGGTTGGTTTGGCCATCATGTATACTCAAGGTTGTACTTGGTTTACCGCCACCAGGTGTAATTCAACAATTAAACAAATTGTCCAACTGAGCATATTTCTATCTTTCCGATTGACAGCTGCGACGAAAACTTGATTCCTCCTGCAGCTGCTCCAACTAAGCGTCAATGACGCAGTGCAGGCGGGGTTGTCACACACATGCATCCGCATTTAATCTGCCTCCTTCTGTCTCTCACCTATCCCTGCACATAAAAGTAGCGAAACAAGCTAGAAGCAAAATTGCACCAGAATGCCCCGTCCAACAACCCGTCAAGAAGTGCTGGCTCGACTCCGCCAGATCATCGCCGAGGGCTCAATCATCGTCGGCGCAGGAGCTGGTTCGTCCCACTGCCATTGACCTACCTGCAGCCAACCAACTGATATACAATACGCAGGAATTGGGCTCTCCGCCAAATTCATCGAAAAAGGCGGCGCGGATCTCATCCTCGTCTACAATTCGGGCCGGTTCCGGATGGCCGGGCGAGGGTCGCTGGCAGGCATGATGCCATACTCGGATGCCAACCAGGTCGTGGTTGAGATGGTTCGTCTCCTACATTCTGCAATTGCATCACATGGCTAACAATACCAGGCAAACGAAGTCCTCCCCGTGGTGGAACACACCCCCGTCCTCGCCGGCGTCTGCGGGACAGACCCCTTCCGCGACATGCGCTCGTTCCTGGCTCAGCTGCGCGGGCTAGGCTTCATCGGCGTGCAGAATTTTCCGACGGTCGGCCTCATCGACGGGAAATTCAGGCAGAATCTCGAGGAGACGGGGATGGGCTACGACCGGGAGGTGGAGATGATCCGGCTCGCGCACGAGATGGACCTCGTCACGACGCCGTATGTCTTCACCGTCGATGAGGGGGAGCGCATGGCGCGCGCGGGCGCGGATGTCATAGTCGTGCACGTTGGACTAACCACGTCGGGAACTATTGGCGCGCAGACGGCGCTGTCGCTGGATGAGTGTGTTGGTGTGATCCAGGAGATCCGGGATGCGGTTGTCAGGGTTAGTCCTGAGGTGATTGTGCTGTGTCATGGGGGGCCGCTGGCGGGTCCCGAGGACGCGGAGTATGTGCTGAGTCGGACGCGGGGGGTGCATGGGTTCTTTGGAGCGAGTAGTATGGAGAGATTGCCGGTTGAGCTGGCGATTCAGGAGAATGCGCAGGCATTTAAGCGGTTGAAGATCCGTCAGTGATCTGGTCAATAGTTGGGAAATTGATCAATTGATATGAACCACCGGAGACCCAAACGGGAAATTCTCCGTGGTACAGACTGTGGAGAAGTAGATCCACAGACAGACTCGGTTATTATCTTTCTATCCGCAGTCTACGGAGTACCTGTGCAATGTTACTGACTGGACTAAATGTCTGATGCGATGAGCTGGATTGTATGCTGTGGCCGCGTGATTATCTGTAGCTGTATTTAACGTGGGGTGACCCCGCTACCTATGATTTGGACGGTTGCTACTAGAGACCTCTATATAACTAGCATTGATTCATTACCTTGAAGAGCATATCCTGTTAATCACACTCAGACTAGCAATGGCGCGACCTTTGGAAGGAAAATTCGGTATCGTCACTGGTGGCTCACGGGGTATGTCTACCTCTACACCATCCTGTCACAGGGTCACAGCTAACAAAACAGGCATCGGCGAGGCAATCGCCCGAAACCTCGCCGCGAAAGGCTGCTCCCTCCTTTTGAACTTCACCTCTGAATCCTCGCGCGCTCGCACAGAAGAGCTCTGCGCCTCGCTGGCCTCGACGCACACGATCCGCTGCGTCGCCGTGCAGGCCGACCTCCTGCAGGCCGAAGAAGCCGTCCCCCAGATTCTAGCAGCCGCCAAACAACACTTCACCTCGCCCGAGGGCAAGTTCCAGATCGACGTGCTCATCAACAACGCCGGCGTCAGCGCCGACCGCTTCCTCAACGACCCCGTCAAGGGCCCCATCGACCGCGAGTACTTCAACTGGCACTACAGCATCAACGTGCTCGCCCCGCTGCTGCTCACGCAGGCCTGCGCCCCGTTCCTCCCCACCGACCGCTCCGGCCGCATCGTCAACATCTCCTCCGTTTCCTCGAGTATTGGGTTCACGGGCCAGAGCGTCTACGGTGGGACCAAGGCCGCGATCGAGGCTATGACGCGCACTTGGGCGCGTGAACTCGCTGACCGCGCGACAGTCAACGCGGTCAACCCCGGCCCTGTCATCGGGGATATGTATTTTGCGACCGGGGAGGAGTTTTGGAAGCAGATGCAGGGGTTCCAGGACGCGACGCCGTTGAGTAAGATGGTCGAGGACGATCCGCAGATGAAGGAGTTGAGTGAGGAGCAGATCCGCTTGATCAAGGAGAAGATGGGTGGGCGGCGGCCGGCGTTTACCAGTGAGATTGCGGGGGTGGTGGGGATGCTGTGTACGGCCGATGGTCTGTGGTGTACGGGGAGTGTGGTGTGTGCCAATGGTGGTATGAAAATGGGATTTTAGCAGTGTACACTCGTATATAGATCTATATAGATCATCAGTTGTTGTTGTGCATATGCATCGAATTGTCTGTCTGGTAAGAGAGTCGTGGTGGTACATTGTCCCCTGTAACGGAAACACGAGACGAAAACAGTAACTGATGTCATCATCGTCAACATTCCTCACCTCTGCAGCTTCAACTCCAATTCCACTTCACCTTTCGTTCCATCCATATTCGTGGCTGATATTCGTGGCCGAATCAATTGATATAAATAAAATGACCTCCCTCCGATTCAATCCGTCAACCCTCCGCTTAACCCCCCGACTCGCCAAACCTCTACCCTCCCGCGTCCTCGGCGCCTACATCACATCATCCATCGCCCTCCGACCTCTATCCACCCATCCGTTGAGGCTATCACCATTCGTGACTCTACCTTCGTTCAAGAGAATTCTCCCATCAACAAGACCCTTCTCAACCGGGAAATCCCACGCCGACCTCCTCGTCGAAGAACTCCAAGAACTGTACTCCCCCCATCCCTCGGCAATACAAATGCAAATAATCTAACGAAACAGCTACGAAACCGCCAAAGACGAATTCGAAATCGCCACAGACAGCACCGCCAGCTCCACCATCTACGCCGCCTCGGACCGCGAGTCCGCCCGCGACGCCCTAAACCAGTTGCTTGCCGTGTACAGCCTCTACACGACCGATATCGCGACCACGGCCAAGTCGCACGCACCGCAGCAGATGCAGCAGGGTGATAGCGACGAGCGGGGGCAGTCGGTGGATACGAATTTCGATCCGTCGGATATCCCGGCGCGGGTGCGCGATGAGGTGCGGAGAAGGGTTGGGCAGCGGGTGAGGGAGTTGAGTAATGCGGTGGAGGGGTTGGAGGAGAGGGCTCATGCTGAATAACTGAGGGAGTCATCTGAGGAAGTGAGTCATTATAGCTGCTAGCTGCGCTGCTGCTAGTATACATTTCCATTCATATCGTGATTGGTATCATCATTTGAAAGTATCCCTCCAACGCCGGGCAATTGCATACAATTGCATAAACTTTTATACCCAGACTCCGTATACCGCCTTGTCTAACTCCAATGTCATGAAGGAAAGGGTATTGATCAAACAGTGCCAAGGGGGAATGCGAATTGGTCGGGGAGCGGTGACGGTGATGGGAAGGCCGTGCTGTCTGCTTTGTGTGTCGTGCGCATATGCCGTTTCAATTGGTCTACAGTCGGAGTCAGTACTGGCCTGCCAACCTGCCAGGGGTCAAGTAGGGTAACGTACCAGGCCGAGTAAAGCTTTTGCTGCATCCAGGATAATTGCATTTGTGTTTTCGTTCTCCGTGAGCTACATTCGTTAGTCATGTACTACTACCAATAAGCGAGGAACATACTTAGTCGATGACTCGACATGTTGGACGACTGTAGGTATTAACGTTAGTACATGCCTACATGCCATTCCCCAACGGAAGCGACTTACATCGCCTGTCTGAAAGTTGCATCCGGGAAATGTGCACTTGAACGGCTTCTCGCCCGTATGCGTCCGTGAATGCGTTTCTATCGAGTCAGCATCCTACCAATGACACACTGCCAAGTAACTCACTTAATTCACTGCTGTCGGTGAATGACTTGCCACATTCGGTACACTTGTACGGCTTCTCGCCTCGATGGCTTCGTTCGTGTCGCTCCAGCGTCGCTTGCCGAGCAAACAGCTTGCCACAAACCGAACATTTGAAGTTTTTATCTATGAGGACTGTCAGTTTCGGCTCCAATCTCATAAACTTATGAGCTTACAGTTACTGTGCGTCAGGAAATGTCCCTGGAGTTTCGACTTTTGGGAAAAAGGCTCATCAGGGCGATGGCATCCTTCCCAACAGCAATAGTAGCCGGTACCCTTTGCTCCTTCCACAGTCCCCATATGGTTTGCAACCAGATGCTCCTGGAGCGCACAAGGATCGGCAAATGTCGCTCCGCACGATCTCTTGACACCATGGCTCGTGGCAGTCCATTTGCAAACATAGACTTCCCCGTCAACGGAAGAGAACCCAGGACTGGTCAATACGGACGAGGCACCACCCTCCAACGGCGGGGGCGTCTCGCCCGGACTGGACATCAGCTGTGAACTCACGCTCGATCGGGACTGGCGGGAATAGGCGGAGTAGGGCCCGTACGGGTGAACATGTGCGTGGGGGTGAATTCGACACCGATGATGCGACCGGCATGGTCCCTTGAGCGGCACATTCCCATTGATATTGACTGACGCCTTGGACGAATCGTTAGGAGTGGGCGGTAGGCGAAAGCACGTGAAGGAGTCGGTCGACCGGTTGTCCAGTTTGCTTAGATGAATGTGGCAGTTCTGGTCCTCGTGGGTGTGGGGTTCAGGACAGGCAGACACGCTGGGGCACATTCCAAGCATCTGGAATACATCCGCAGGATTGACATTATTCGGCAGGGGAAATGGCACATTTCCAAGGTGATTGTGTGAATCTCGGGGCAGAGTATGACAGTGGAAGGGAGGATACGAAGGATGACAGTGATGGAACGTTGTTGGGAAAGGAAACAGGGCGTCCGCGGACTGTGATGTGTTGACAAGGCCCGATGTGACATTTTCTGTAGGCTTAGATGGCGGTTGCATTTGATTCTGATCGATGGTCGATGACGGAAGTAGGTTGCAGGCTTCCAGCGACAGCGGCTGCCCCAGTCCCAGCAGTGACTCTAGATTGTTATGATCGGCGGCCTGCCCGTTATGGTCGGCGAAGCTAAAGCAGTGTTCATCGAAGCAGACTGCGTCCGTGCTTTTGCAATCCTTGTCGTCACAGTGCGATAAAGAACAAGCAGTTGCCTCATCACATTCTCCGAAGCCGTCACAGACGGAAGGACAGTTAACGGAACAGTCATCCACATCACAACACGCCTCGTCAATTGTGGCACAATGCGTCAGCGAGGTGTGATGATGGTCCTCGTCCAAACAACTCCATTCTGGCGGCTGAGCGGAGGTCTCCGCGCCGTCCTGGGAGTCCTCACCATCTAGATGAAAGGCCTCCCAGTGACATTCGAGGCAGAAATCATCTTTCTTAGTGTGGGAAGACATGGAGAGGGTAGATCCGCTGGCAATGGGATCTCCTCAGGACTCAAAAATGAAGAATGGGGAACACGGTGAAGAGGAAAGAAAGAAAAGGAGGGGAGATGATCAAGAGTAGGGATGATAGCACTACTACTGAGGACGTTAGCACGACTCAGTCCCACATTGGCTTCGCAGGGCAGGGCAGGGCAGAGGTAAAAGGTACAAAACGGCGAGCACCTACCACAATGCGATCAATCACTGCTGCAAACGCAATAATGGGAGAATTGAGTGAAGCCGAGAGAATCGTAGGAATGAAGCAATCAAGGCCAGAGCATAGGATTGACCGCCTGCAGTGTGCAAATCCAAGAGGACCTTGGGAGCTTCCCACGTGTATATAATCGACGAAGGTAACATCCAGATCTGTGCGAGCAACTTGAGGGAAAGGGGTCCTGGTAATACCCTGAGGGAACAGGGACTACCTAGACATGAGAATTAGCGCAGGACTCGCATTTGAGCGCCTAGGATAATACGTACCTCAATAAGATTCTTGCATATGGGGGCGTGGGGTGCTACCTGACCCCGTCCAGACACAGCGACTGGACACTATCAAACACAAGCGAGAAGGAGAGTGAGGACCCTGCGAGCAAGCACCTAATCTTTACTGAGGACCTTGGGGGAAAAAAGCGTCATGTCCGCTCCCCGCCGGCGAATCGTACCGCCTGAATTGTCAGGCCTGCAGATTAACTATTATCTTCCCGTCCGCTTATCGTCACGACTCGAAAATCGCGAGCAAGAGTATTAACCGGGATAGTTGCAATACTACGTGGAGAGGAAGGTAGTGTTCTTTTGAAAACCTCTTAATCGTCACTTTCACTCCATCGACAATAACTTTGGTCTTTCCATGATTAAAGTGGAAAAATCTTCCACCGGAGTCTTATTCTGCCCGATTCCACCGCTTTGTGTTAGGTAATCAATTTTGATAAGATATCAACCCCTCAGGTACGCTTCATTGATGCCTTGTTGCCTGATATACTTGCCAGGAGCTTGAACTGTTTTATAAACTTACGGATGCTTTCTTTGTCTATACTTACCACTAACCAGTAAGGTCCTTACCCTGACTTCTCAGGACTCATAAGATCGGACTGTTTTTGTTTAGCTTCAATAACGCTCTTCCCCATTCGATCCGTAGTTATCTGACACCATTGTGGCTCGCCTTTGTTGACTTTAAGAAGACTATAGTATCGTCAAATCTTAAACCCACGGTATGAGGGAAATTCTCCTTCTTGAGGATCTACTTCTACTATCTAGCTACTCATCTTTGGCGGCCTTGTTCTCTTCAGCAATGGCATGGTCCATGGCTAACTGATAGCCACGTGCTGACCGCCCCTGATCCTCCGGGATCGTCATTCCGCCATGATCTCCACCAGTCTCTTAAGTCTCCAACATAACAGACACTCCGCACTCAACACCACCACCAAGTGCACCACTGGAATCAAGGATATCCGGTCATCCACTGTACATCGTAATCGAATTGCATCGCATCACATCGCAATTCCAAACGAACCCATCCCCCACGCTGCTCTAGCTCTGTTATTCCACCCCCGTCCTAAACCCACACCCACTCGGGCCACTCCACTCATCCCAGTCCATATCCTCACCATACCGTATCCATCGCACGCGCCTCACCTCACAACCCAGGACTACAACGCGATAACCCCAACCCAAACAAATGGGCAACCTCTGCTCCACCTCCAAAAACGAAGCCGAGCCCTTCTCCCGCCCCGGCCGCGTCCTCGGCTCACCCGCCAATCCCCCGCCGAACGCCGCCCCGCGCGCCCCGCTCCCCGCGAAATCAAAGGCGCCGTTCAAATCACCGGGGAGAACACTAGGAGAGGCTGCGCCGGAGGTTCCAGATGCGGAGAGGGCTGATGCGCGGACGAATGCTGCGATTGCGGCGCAGGTGAGTGACACTGCGGAGCGAAGCGGAGCAGCTCTCATACGAGGTGGCTGGCTAACTGGAGGGTGCCAGAAACGAGCCGAGTCGGCGGCGAGTGCCCAAAAAGGGAAATTAGGGTCGAAACTGGCGGCGCAAAAGGCTCAGACGCAGGCGAAAACCTTGAGCGAAGTGAGTAGGGAGCAGACTTCTGCTAGGCATATGGATGAGTCGAGTGAGGCGAGGAGGTGGAATTAAGCGAAAGAAGTCCTCGACCTAGATGACCTACCTTGAACTTGCTGGTGTTTCTTGGAGTATATTGGCGTAAATATCACTGTAGAGATCATGATATTTCTTTACTCATGCGTTACTGCCTACACATTATGAACCGAGGCATTGGCAATGTATGTCTATAAACATCAAACCATAACGAATATGATACAACCAGCTAATGGTATAGTCTTAGACAACGTTGTATCGCCCTCCCACTGGTGCTCTTGCGTCGCTATCGGCAGCGGCCAGGGTGCCCTCTTTGAGCAACCGCATCAACTCCCGCATGGCATTCGTCACGGCGAGTTCCGTTTCACCTTCAACAAGAATATACAGCTTCGGGTTCTCGCCAGGTCCAGGCTCCTTACCAGCAGGATAGAAACTTCCTTTGGTGGTGATAGACGTGCCGGTAGCCTCCAGAATCTTGGCCACATTCGTACGGTTGGTAACGGCCCAACGAGCTTTTTCTGTAGCGCGGAAACATATTAGCTCCTGCTCTATAACTGACCATAACAGGGAATAACTTACGAGGAAAATCGTTGATCTCCAAGGTTGCATGGAAAGCTCCCGCATCAGGTCCGCGGTTATCGATCGGCACACCAGACCGCATGACTCCAGCACGGCTGAGACGGGCATGGATATCAGCGACCGCCGAGCCCACCTTGTCCAGTGGGTTCTTCGACGCGCCCGCTGGGTCTTTCTCGGTCCTGTGAACCGTAATCTTGCCATCAAGATCGATACCCTTGGGAACACCGGGCAAGGGAGTTGTTGCGGCGGCGGCGGCAGACTGCACCGAGGATACAACTTTGCTGAACCGCTCATCCGCCTTCTCGGCCTTATCTTCCTTGTCTTCTTCATCTTCACCCTCCTCGCCTGTCTTGTATGTCCGCCGTTCTCGCATCCGAGCTGCATCTCGCTCCTGATCGAGGCGCTCCAGACCCTTTCCTCCGAATCCAGACGCACTGGCTTTCTCCTTGCCCGCTTTGACCTTCTCCAAAAAGGAATCGACCATCTTTTGGACGGGTTCAGGCACCTTCTGTCCACTCTGCCTCAAAGCCTTGGCGATATCCACTGAATACCGCTCTTGTTCTTCGGTCAGGAACGTGACTGCAGTTCCCGTATTGCCAGCACGGCCAGTTCGTCCGGCCCGGTGAACGTAATCTTCCAGATGGTTCGGCGCATCGTAGTTGACAACGAGCTTCAGCTGCTTCACGTCTAGACCTCGGGCAGCGACAGAGGTGGCAATCAAAATGGGGAAGATTCCGGCCTTGAAATCTTCAATCGTGGAATCTCGGTCAATTTGGTCTTTGCCTCCGTGGATGGACATGCAAGGATAACCCTTGCGCATCAGCTCTCGAAGGAGAGTATCCGCAGCTTCTTGACGGTCAACGAAAATCAAAGCACGTGCATCTTCGTTGGCGTCATCCGAGTACAAGTTGCCCAAAATCTCCAATAGCCGTACAAACTTTGTGTCTTCGTTGCGCACCTCCACAATCTGGGTGATCTCAGGCGCGACGACGCTTTTCCCACCGACAACAATCTCGATCGGCTTGGTCAACGACTTACGGGCCAAAGCCTCCATGTTTCGAGGGAAGGTGGCCGAGAACAGCACCGTCTGTCGATCGGGTCGGATATTGGCCATGATCTTCATGACTTGGGGCTCGAAGCCCATATCAAACATGCGATCCGCTTCGTCCAAGACAACATAAGTGACTCTTCGCAGATTAGTAACTCTGCCCGCATTCGCCGCCAGCAGGTCAATCATCCGTCCCGGTGTACATACAACAATCTCGGCACCACGCTTCAGTTCGGCAATCTGGTCCTTGATAGGAGCGCCGCCATAAGCACAAACAGCCCGAAGGTTCAACGCCTTCAAAAAGGGCTTGCAATCCTTGTGGATCTGAGTCGCAAGCTCGCGTGTCGGTGTCATGATAAGCCCAATAGGTCCTTCCATGTTCTCCAGCGGCCGTTGGTCTCTGATATGTCGGAACATAGGAATCAGGAAAGCAATTGTTTTACCTGATCCAGTCTTGGCCACACCGATCACATCGCGGCCAGACATGATCGCAGGAATGGCCTGCGATTGAATTGAGGTGGGATTCTCGTAGCCGAGCCTATGTATAACATCCAAGGTCTGCACGCCCAACCCGCACTGGGACCATTTCATAACTGGTTTGGGCACGTCAACACCGCGCACTTTGATTCCGTCAAGTTCCAGCCGTAGGCTGGCAGCTTCTTCGTCGGTCATTTCAGCCAAGTTGGAAGGCTCGGTGTAAAACTTCTTACGGAAGGGCTCGTATTCCATCTTCTCATGGTCAACGGCCGGAATGTCCTTCTTCTTCTTGGCTTTGTTAGCAATCGCAAGGAAGTCATCAGCGTCACCCTCGCCCACAGCGGTCAAATCCACATCGTGTTCGTCGCCAAACATCGCCTCGGGCTGCTGTTCCTTCGCTTTGGCAAATCTGGCGCCAGTTGTCTTCTTTGGCGGAGCGGTCTCGGCCAGTTCCGACATGAAAGCATCCAGTGGGTCAACTTCCTCCTCCGCTGCATCAACCTCCATTTTCTCGGATTCTGCTTGGTGGGAGACGTCATCCATCTCGACGTCGCCGTTGGGCTGGGGCGCAGCCTCTTTTGACTGGGCCCGTAGAGCTTCACTCTGCAAGCGTTCTTCGCGCCGTTCCGCAGCAGCTCGTGCGGCAGCCGCATTCTCCTCCTCAGTCCCACCGTCCTGCATGTCGACATCATCTTCATCCTCTACGGCGGCATCCACAGCCCCCGTGTCATCTTTCGCGTCTTCTAATGGAGGGGTCGGTAAACGCTCCAATTTCTTTCGTTTAGATTCCTCTTCACCAAAACCGAGAGTCTTAACTGCTGATGATTTCTCGGCATCTGCAACTTGCCTGGCGCCTAACCCGAAACCGCCAACATTCCGTTTTACTGTCAACGTAGCTATACAAGTAACATTAGCAATTTGAAACGATCTTATGGTGGGAATGAATAACTTACATGAAGCGGTGCTGATGGCGGCTGGAGGTTTGTTAGCTTGTACATGATTATTCATGGAGGATAAGGAAGCGGACGCTTTGGCAGACTGAGGAACGGCAACATCGTTACCAAGCACAGCAGGTGTACTTGGGGCCGGTACCGCATTTCGTACAATAGCCTTCGGGTCAAATTTGCCAGCATATGGAGCAGGAGTGGCATCAGTGGTAGGCGTCGCTGCTGGAGATTGCGGAGAGCCAACAGCCGGTGATAAACCTGATTTTCTGTCTATCTCTTCCAAGATACTTCTTGCTCCGCCAGCTGCAGCGGCTTCGCGCTGCTTCCGTTCTCTCTCAGCAGCCTGCTTTTGCTTCCAGGCTTCTAATTTCGCCAGTCTTTCAGCTCTTTTCTCGTCCTCGGTTGGAGCCGCGGGCGCAGGGGTGGATGGCTTCGAGGTCTAATCACTTATTAGCATCAGATTCATAGATATTTTCCAAAAGCATTATAAGTCGAACTTACCTCTCGCGACTTGGAATCCAGATTCCTCGTCCGACTATCGTCCCGTCTAGACTTGTGCTTCAAGTCAGCAGAATCGTCTGTTCGCCTCCGTGCCCGGTCGCGGGAATCATCTCGCCTGCTTCGATAATCTCTTTCGCGACTTTTCCGGCGATGATCCCGGTCATCGCCTCTATCTCTTGATCGACGTCGATCGCGAGAACGATCTCTCCGGCTTGGTCGATAGCTATCTTCATCCCGATGATCGTCGCGTCTGTCTATGGAGCGGTCACGTCTCCGGTATGAATCACGGTCGCGATCGCGGTATCGTCTCTGTGAGAGTTGTGAAGTTAGGATAATGATAGCCAAACTAAGATTGTGAGCCAAGAAACATACCTCAGGGCTACGAGATCTTCGATAACTCCTCCCATCATCTCGCCTGCTCTTCTCGTAGCGATCATCATCTCTGCGACTCCGTCTGGATGAAGAATATGTGCTGCCTACAGGTGATGGTGAGCGAGTATCCCCGTGGCGAGCCATTGTTGCAGGCCAACGATGAGTGAGTATTACTGAAACTCCAAAGACTCGAGCACGTAGTCAGAAAAGTAAAGCAATTTATTACCCTTCCATCAGCTGTTGAACTGTTGTTGACGGGCAATCAATAATCGGCACTGGTAGTAGCAAGTTGGTGGCGATGTAAGTGATTGGTTTTCGCTGGGGCTGCGGTTCTTCTTTCTAAGTGTCAACCCAGGTCCATGCCCGCAACATGTCTCACGTGATGCAATGTATGAAGGATCTACATCACGTGACGTGTTATCCCAATTCGGAATACCCCAAACGAACCAAGGACGTGACCCAGCCCCCCGGTTTCATCTGTGGCTAGCTAACCACACCACTGCAGCCAAGAGCTCTTGCTTGTCTAGGAAGACCTGCCCATCTTACTCCGTACTGCGATTCCTCGATTACTCCTCCACGTCAACTCTTGGAATATTGGTGCGCGTAACTTCGCTGCGAGTCTTAGAATCATGCCTCGAAATATAATCCAAGGCGGAGGGGGCATCCTTCGATACCTTCATCGCAGCAATGGCTTGATTCATCCCTCTCGCGTGGCCATCGCCAATGGCCTTATCCGGCGCATTTGTCTCTCCACGAACCGTCAGCTCGTGAGCCCAACTGCGAAAACAATCCGTCCTTCAGTCATTCTATCACGGCCTTTAATCAACTCCTTTGCGACTACAAGTACTCCCGATGACGAGACCGAGACAACGAAGTCGAAAGGATCCAAGACTGGCAAGAAGACCACAAAGAAGCGCAGCTCGAAAGCCACGGCTAAAGCTAAGCCGAAGCCCCGCAAGAAGTTGACAGACAAGCAGAAAGAAGCCAAGAAAGCTGAGAAGATGAAGGAACTGGTCAAGCAGCTCAAGAAGACAGCGCTGGAACCTCCCAAGAAACTGATAGAGAATCCTTGGAATCTCGCCATCGCGACGGTGGCCAAAGAGATTCAGGCTCGCGGCGTCAAAGGACCAGACTTCGTCATGCAATGTTCCCAACTTGCACAGTCGATCAGCGCGGAAGAGCGCGAGGTACGTTCTGGAGAGATCAACCCAACACTGTACAACCACTGATGATGTATGATTTAGCGTATTGCGGCCGAGGCAGAAGCCAATAAAGCTGCCAATGCGGCAGCTTATGAGGCATGGATCCAACAGCACACTCCTCTTCAGATCAGAAAAGCCAATGCAGCACGCCGCAGACTCAACAAGATTAAGAACACATCTCTTCGACTTCTGCATGACGATCGGCAGGTCAAGCGGCCTCGTACGGCATACCTGCTTTACATGCTGGACCGGACTGCCGAGGGCGACTTCAAATATATGAGAGCCAAGGATATCGCAGTGCGCGTAACAGAGGAATGGAAAGGCCTGACAACTACAGAGAAGGAGGTATGTTCGGATTTGTCTTTCAGCTGGCAGCCATGAACCGTAGATCAATGGAGCTAACGCAGCCCTTCTAGAAATACCTCAGACAAGCTGAAGAGGATCGTGAGCGGTACCGCCGAGAATACCTTGAAGTCTACGGCGAAGAACCATCAACTTCTCGCTCAACAACCGCGTCTTCAAGTCCTTGAGCTCGGTACTTTTACTGAAGGCTATTGTCACTTCACCTCATGGGATCGTCGCAATTCGTCATTGAGTTTCGTCGAATGCGGGAAAGGATTGTCCACTGTATGGCTTACATGTATCTCGTAGGTATCTTCGTTCTGTCTGTGTCCTTTATCCGGTGTCTTTCTTTCACTGCGGTCTCTCTTGATACACCTCGGCCAGCTGTCTTATTCTGTACTTTATTGATTCCTCTGGTCCATGGGTTATGGGCTTTCGTGATTCCTGTAGACAATATTATGGTCCTGATTGCCCTCGATACACATAAGCACGTATGGCCGCGTCTCATTGCAAGAAAGACTTAGTTCCCTCAAGATACTAGTTTGGACGGGTAATCATAGTAGGTAGTATCGGCTCTGGAGAGCCACCAACAAGGTACTTCATCCTTCAGCTCTACTCCTGCAGCGGTGGGATGTGACTAGTGCAGAGTCTATTTTGGGGACAGCAGTCTGCTGCAAATAGTTCTCTAAGTTACGGACTGGATTTGACCAAGCCCTGTTGTCGTATGTGCTTGAAGCAGATGAGGATGATATATGTATGCTTTTCAGCATTATTGAGAACCAATTCAGCTCACTGTGCTCTATTTACTGACATTTTCAGAGTGTAACCAGGCATTGCTCCTACTTCAGAGAGCCCAGTTCAGGTGACGACCGTCTCCTCATGGGTTATCATTACATAGTGATGTGCACAGAGTGGATCGATCGACCGACCGGTCCTGCTTTTCCGCGGTCTAGTCCGGGTCCGGGATACTATACGGAAATTCACCACTCCCTCCTCTCAGCGTCGTCTGCCAAAATTCATCCGACTCGTGCGCCTCACGTTCACATAGCTTCATCCCCGCCGGACTCGACACCATGCGGTCCAGCGCCTCGACCACCCGTAACTCCCAGTTGATCCTGGTGCCCAGTTCCCGCGCCAGCATATTGCAGTGGACCATTATCCGCCAGCAGTGGTCCAAATGCCGCCGTAGCTGCCTCCGGTTCCGTCGATGAAGCGGATCATGTGGCACCGGGAGCCGCGAACGCGAGCGCGAACGATCATACTCTGTGCAGGCTGTGATTTGCAGAACTAGCTCCTGTGGCAACCGTTTCGCCCGAAGATACGCTTCAACCCGCGCCACGTCGACGGCGCTTCGGGTCTGATGCTGGACGCCGGCGGCTCCCCCGCGCGAGATCTGTAATGGGTAGCTGAAATGGCCCTCAAGGCCGAAAAATTGACGGTGAGGGTGGCGCGAGACTTCGCTTTCCGACCCGTCGTGGGTCCAGATTTCGACAGTCTGCTGATACATCCGCGTGGCGCGGTACTCGTCGGTCCGTTTCTTGTTTCGGGCTTGCCGGGCCGCTGGGTCCCAGAGCTCGGGGAAGCAGTAAAGGATGTTGAGAAGGAGGTAGATGTTTAGAGCGGCTTCGAAGACTTGGTCCCAGCCAAGATCCCGTTCCTATAATCAGTCAGACGAGCTGCCCGTTTTTTTGACATTGATGAAGGACTGCAGGACCAGGCCTGAAAAATACGCCCACTCACCAGACATTGACAATGCCCCACACGCATCGATTCCTTCAGATTGGTATCTGGTGTCGCGCACAGTCGTAGCACCGTATCCATCTCCCCCAGAACAAGGAGTGCGTTCAGCACCTGCAAATTATAAAACACCTCGGTGTTTTCGGCATAAAACGTGTAGCAACTGTTTCTACGATACGACCGCTGGAAAGCGGCTGCCTTCCGTTCGTGGTAGGGCAGGGAACACCCACAGGCAAAACTCTCGCTGTCCACATGTCGGCACAGCCCTTCTGTCATGTGGACCTTGTCCTCCAGTGGCCACTTGTAGGCCTTGCACCATCGGTAGGCAAGGGTGCGGATTTGCTCCGCCACGCGGTCGTTCAGGACCAGCTCCTTTGGTGTGAAGGGTGAGTATCGATCTGGATATTTCCGGCGCTCGTCCTCCGTATGTTTTCCGAGGGTCCTCACAAAGGATTCGATAAAGGAGCCGATCTCCTGCCCCTGCGTAGGTTTGAACCGAAAGTACAGATTGGAAGCTAGGTCTGCCGCGGGGTAGGAGGGAGAGCGGTGGTTGAGGTTAGCAGCTAGGATGTTCCAATTGATGCTGTGCTCTTCGTGTGCCATTGTCATCACTCTGAATTGCTACTTCGAAATAGACGACTTCGGGCGAGCAACTGAGCATACATGTGCGGTTTTACAGTACGCAAAAGATTATGGTACGATCGCACGGTAGCTTGACGGCAGAGTCACAGAGGATGCGATTGAGAGTATCCTTCCTCTAGATTGCTGAGTTTTGTTGAGACTGAACAATCGTGAGAGTCAAGTGAGTCAAGAACCAGGTATATATACTCCGTAGGCAGCGATTTGATCGAGTCGATGTCTCGGAACAGAGCCGTGGATCAGATTAAGCTAGGAAGTTTTGAGACCCCGATCACCGCTAAGAGGTAGTATGAATCAGAAGGAGGCCAACAGTGCCTCATCCTGAACAATATAGTCAACGCGAACTAATGAACAATCAGGTTAGTATGAAGAGGAAACCGACAATGGACTGACAAAAGGCTCTCCCAAGACTGGTATAGATGCAGACTGCTGCTGCCTATAAACTGACCAAGTCCATGTCTGTATGAGGTGGTGAAGCTAGAGCATTGTCCCTGATGTCCGCGCCAGCCCATATTTTGCGGAATTTGATCATGATGCCCAGGCAGCGTTGTCTGCTCCTCTGAGGCATGCCTGCTGAGCATTCGCGTGGTTTGTTCGGCCTTCCTCCAACTACTCATTATCTTGGCGAACACCGGTCATGTTGACGCTAGCCAGTCGCTTGTGCAATTACGACATTCATCAAGAGATGAAGGGGGTGGCGCAATGCGCGCGGCATGATGAATGGGTCAATGGCAGAAATGCCTTACCAAACCTCTCGGGCAAGGAGAGAAAACAAGAAAACAAAATGATGAAGTGTGCGACGAAGTTGAAGAAGTGATGGAGAGCGGCGTTATAGAACACACAGCACAATGCCAAGCGGTAACAAGGCGCTTGTCTCGAATAAGGTAGGGACGCTATACTGTTCCAGTAATTCGCCGTCACCGCAGACTACTGAGTACCTTAGGAAAGCTGATCAAATCTGATCGATTACCTTATCGTAGTAGAGTTGGCCCGCATTGTAAACCACTCAGCCAGCATAGATGGATGCAACGAGTTCGTGAGGACCGCGGGGATCAATATATCCTTGTCTGGTTAGTCCGAGAACGCCCAAGGTCGATATATTGTATGACGTTTGCGAGTCTTTTCCTATTTAGGAAAAAGCAGATAGGGACCTTATGGACTGAGGGATTGCATTGTATCTGTTAATGCTCCCTGACGCGCTGCTTGTCTGCTCCCAGTTCTCTTTGCTTCTCAGAATCACTGTACTTCTTCTATCTACTCCATATCTTTCTCTTTCTCCAGCTTCAACTTCAGTACAACAAACCTACGGCGAACTTGAGCAATATGCCTTATCTTAGGAGTTATCAGCAGAGGAGAATGAACTATCGTACTGGCAATGTAAGATCATGATTTTTAGCTCTTCTGTTATTGCATGGCCCTTTCAACATCTCTGTGCACGTCGTTTCCAGGGACAATGGCAGAAGTGAAGCCTGGGAATAGGACGCTCCAGAGGCTAACCGATACAGACCGGACAGGACTCTGATACCGATGACACACACAGTGTGCACACTTCTCTCAGTCATGGCGCAAGTACTCTGTTCAGCCAGGATGACCGCTCCTCTGTTTCTTCAGGACCGGTATCAGTGCATGCCCTACCTCACCGAGGTGAAGGGCTCCGTTTTCGACCTGAAAACGTCTACCCAGACCGTTTCACACTGGCGGACATCGAGGTGCCCCGAGGTCCGTGGGTGTACCTTGCATGCCCAGGATCCAGGCGGAAGTGTCCACATTGCAAAGTTCATGTGAGCCACAGCGACCACATCGTGGTGGCAGTTGACGGAGCATGCTCAAAGAACGGCAAAGACGGAGCTCGCTCATCGTATGGGGTGTTCTGGGGTCATAACAACGTGCTGAACACCGCTGTGCCTGTTGAGGGAGAAGGACACCACACGAACCAGGTAGCCGAGTTACGGGCTTGCATGAGAGCATTGCTGGACGTGGTGCACGTCAAATCTCTCTTTGAGGACCAAGGGATCACTCTTAGCGCGGTTGTCATCAAGTCCGACTCGGAGTATCTGGTCCGCGGCGTCACCGAATGGCTTCCCAAATGGAAGAGGAACGGATGGAAGAACTCTAGGGGATTGGATGTGGCTAACTGGGAACATTTCAAGGCAATTGAGCGTCTCACTGAGGATTTGGAGAGACAAAAATTAATCCTCAAGTTCTGGCATGTACCTAGGAGGAATAATCGCGACGCAGATACTATGGCGAAGGCCGTCTTGAGGGGCGCCTGGAACCGGGGATTGGGCTTGCTCCCCCCATTCTAGGGCATGCCTTGTGGCTCTAGACATTGTATAATCTATGAATGTTCCTGACTGATGCGGAGGCGATCTTTTTCTTGAAACGGAGTCATGTTAGTGGGGTGCAGAGGTGTCACGGAGTGAGGATGAGCTAGAGACTGAACCAGAACGTGAAGGCCTTTATGTGCACATATTTATCCCGTATTTCTTCAACAACCCGAAGGAAATGATTAGCAATTGCATTGGTCCAGTTTAACAACCGCAATGCCTGACGCTAAAACTGCAGCGGAAGGATGGCCGTGAACTTGAAGGCCAAATTTGGCTTCACCGACAAAGCACAACAGGGGTATCGCGACCATCCTGTCTGCGCAGACACGCCATACAGAGTGACTCACATTCTAGCTGTACCTCTATCCAAGCTTCGAGCCTAGGGTGCATATAGGTCCGCAGTTTGGAGAACGGGAATGGCCGTGCCATGCATGATTTATGGAGAGACTGCCTGAGCGATGCACCATCTCTCACTGTCAATAGCAGGAGCCAATGCTCAAGCACAGCGGTGGTGATGAGTTAGGTTTTAACTCCTCCGTTCTCGGACATCGTAAGGAGTTGTTACTAGTCTCGAGGTACGGAGGACAAACTCATAGTCGTAGAGAGCTACGTAGCAGATATGGCTGCCAGTAAGCACGATGATGGGTCTCCAATGCCAACACGCGCTCTCATAGGTGGAGGCAAAGTCTTCGCCTTCGATGCGGTGAAGAAAATGGACAACAACAGAAGCTCAGAAACACGCCAGTCTTTATAGTTATCCGAGGATGTTTGACTGAGGACGAATGGAAGTCGCCAGATGTTGATTTTTAAATCACTCTGCTGCCCGAAATCCTCGTTGCATGCATTAGGAACTTGTTGTTCTTTCCGGAGGGGCTTTCGAGGAAAGATTCTGGTCTGTAGAATGCGAATGATTGAAGCATCTCATAGGCGGTTCCTTCGCGTTTCCTTGGATCACCAGAATAATTTCATTGTCTGGTGTTCAAGTAAAGTAGTTGTGTTCCATGTATCGAGGCCGTGAAGTTGTATGGTTCTGTGGAAATTCTCCACTATGTCCCAGGGTACTACTGTAAGCCTGAAAGTACATGACTCCGCAGTACTCCGTAGGAAAAGAAACAACGCAAACTTGCCAGGGGCCCAGCGCTCATGTGCGCTGTATATTGTTAATTAACACTTATTATTATTAAGATACTTCAAGTGAAGAGGGTATATAGATATTATCAGGTCGCCTTCATATATATACTTCTTGTCTAGATACTCACTCTTGTATACCTCATACTACGCAGTACACTATTCAATTTCCAGGAGGGGGGCATCCGTTATCGATAGGATCTCCCTCCCACCACCGGCCTTCCACCCGCTGTGTGAGTCGCTCGTGCCTGCGTGACTCTTCATCATTCCTGCTCATAAGACCCCAACCTGTTACAATTCGGACCTTTTCTCTCATCTCTGATTTGATTGAAAGTATCTGCTAACCGGATGCAAATTCCTCAGCCTCCCGAGGTAGACCAGCGCTTGTCCTCGTTGGTCCTCCATTCGACCATTCCCCAGCCACCGTTTTACAGATTCTATACCCGGTTCACAATACGCAGTACCTACAATCAGCAGTTCTTCTCGTTCTCTGAGTGGCCCCGCTGATCAGCGTGCATTGATTGAGACGATAGACCGGAAAGGGGAAAAAAGCAAAGAAAAGGTTAGAGATATTCGAAAGAGGGGAACATACAGAAATTTTGATGTTTCACGCAAACGCAAAGTCCGCCTCTGAAACTGAATATACATCTGCTGCGGCCTCAACGTATCGCAGGCTGTCTAACAGGCTGTCTAACTGACCTGCGTACTTCGTACATTAGTTCGCATTCTTAGCCCCAGTCCTTCCCATACCAGTTCGTCCAATTTGGTCGTGATCTTCTCAAGACGATCTTCAAATAGCTCTGCTCTCCTACGTTCCTTCCCACCGCTTGATGGTCACAAATCACGACGCTTCACGGCCATTTGTCGTATCCTTGTGACTGCGACTGCTTCCTCCTCCCTGGTGAACTTTTTCTTGCTGTTCTCCTTGACTTCTGCGCCTCGCATTCCCGCCATTGAACTTGCGATTCGATCACATTCTTCGCCGCCAGTCGCAAATCATAATCCTGAATTACTTCATGGTTTTGCGTTCCACATAGTGCAACCTTGAGCGGGTAGCATTTTTTTGTCCTTTGTACAGGGAGGCTTTCTCGTTTCGCCATCTCACTCCTACGCTCGTTTTCTCCCATATTGTGTCGATTGACAGTATATTCGAATTCTGTGCTTGTCGGCCGTTGACAACAAATCTGAGTTGCCTCGACCGAGGCCGGTATATCCTCGGTATCCATGAGTTTACTATAACTACTAAGTGACGGGCTACCGTTCGACAGTCGGTCGCCTTGCAGCATGGAAAGTGTCCGTATGGTTCCTAATGCTGGACTTGCAGCAAATTTTGGAGCCAGATTACTCCCATCAATCACTGAGCACGACATCCTCATCGATGGCTTTACCAACGATAGGCTTTGGCAACAGGACCGGTTTTCGAGTGCTGATGTCAAAGGCAGGATTGCAATGCGCCAATTAGGTGCTCGCCAGTTAGGCTCTGAGAATGAGTGTGAACGGCGCCTATTGATATCTGACCTTAAGGACATCCTCGACAAGGTAGGTGTTTTCTCCGCGTTCCTTCCAGCCCTAACCTTGAGGCCATTCTGTATCATCTCGAATCGAGCGTTAGTACTAACTGGCAATTTTTCTGAAAGGATTCGACGAGACCTCTGAACTTTCTCTTAAAAGGGGATCTAGCTTTCGAGTCGGGCCTTGAGACATGGGATCCTCCAGACTACGGTCAACCCCCTCCATCGTACCAGGATGCGGTTAACGACCTACCTCCTGATTATGACACACTCTCCCCTCTAGCCCGACAGAAAGACCTGGTTGACGAATCAGCGCCAGATAGAACCTCGGGTGATTTCGAGGACAACCGTTCTTCTCGGCCTATTGACTACGACGATCCGGCCGGTATCCGAGAATACAAAGGAGGAAAAAAGAAGAAGAAAGGAGGGGGCGGTGGAGGTGGAGGTGGAGGCGGAGGGGCACCACCGCCGCAAGAGAGTACACCACCACCAGAGGATAACAGTGGAGAGCAGCCGAATGAAGGTGGAGATGCCGGGCAGAATAATGGTGATGGAGGGAATGACGGCGGTGATCCTGGCGATGGGAACAACGGGGGTGACGGAAATGGTGACGGCGGTGACGGAGGCGGTGACGGAGGCGATGACTGGGATGCTTGGAACACCACCAGCAGCAAAAAGGATAAGAAGAAGAAAAAGAAGGAAGAGGAAGAAGAACGGAAGAGGAAAGAAGAGGAGGAGCGGGTAGCGAAGGAGGAGGAGGAGCGGAAGGCGAAAGAGGAGGAAGAACGAAAAGCAGCCGAGGAAGCAGCGGCTGCTCAGGCCAGTCTCAGTTGGGCTGATGACGCTGACGGAGGTGGTGACGATTCCTGGGCGGGCTTTGCCACAGTTGGGAAGAAGAAGAAAAAGAAGGGAAAGGTATGGCACGTTCCAACGGCCCTTGAGGCATCGTCTTCTAATCCATGAGCAGGATGTCGATCCGCCGGCCGTAGAGGCACCGTCAAACGGCTTTCAGGATGTCAGTCTGAATGATAGTGGGGTCCCTCAGTTAGATTTGAATCTTGATCCTCCTGCAGGCAGCAATGGTGGTGCTGGCTTCAGTTTCGGAGGATGGGGCAAGGATTGGAACACCGGAAGTAAATGGGGTCTTGACTCTCTCAATATGAATGGCAACGCCAATGCCGATAGTGGAAAGGGTACCAACCCTTGGGGTGCCATTGGCAGTAAGAAAGACACCTCAAAGACCCCCGGTGGTTTTGATTTCGGGGACTTTGGAGACTCGGGTGATGCCGGGCAGGAGGAACCTCCTGCAGAAGAGAAGAAGCCCGAAGAGGATATTTGGGCTGATTTCGCGCCAGTTAGCGCCAAGGATAAGAAGAAGAAAAAGAAAGATCTTGTGGAGGAACTCCCCAAGGAACCCGAGCCTGAGCCTGAACCGCTACCAGCTCCTGAACCAGCACCTGCGGTAGATGATAGCTGGATGGCCGGTCTTTCCAAGAAGGAAAAGCGAAAGGCGAAGAAAGGTGCTAAAGTTGCCGAGGAGCCGCAGGTCCCTGAGCCTGTCATTGAAGAACCGAAAACAGACAACGTGTGGGGCACGGCTGAGGAAAAGAAGGAGCCAGAAAAGGCACCTGACATGGCCGATGATAATGACTGGGGCTGGGGTGTTTCGACCAAGAAGAAGGACAAAAAGAAGCAAGGCGTACTGGAGACAGTCGCTCCCGTGGAGTCTCCTGCCCCTGAACCTCCCGCTCCCGAGCCTGCCCCCGCAGAAGACGATTGGGGAATCGCTTGGGGATCAGTCGGCAAGAAGGACAAGAGGTTAAAAAAGGGGGCGGTTGTCGAAGAGCCTGCACCTGCCGTTGAAGAAGCGCCCCCTGAACCGCAACCGGAACCTGCACCAGAGCAAAAGGCACCTGATGATGCTTGGGGAGGCTGGGATATTCCCAAGAAAGAGAAGAAGAAGAAGAAGGGGAAGGCGGTTGAGCCTGAGCCTGAGCCCGAGCCCGAACCTATCCCTGAGCCTGAGCCTGTACCTGAACCCGAACCCGAGCCCGAGCCTGCGGCCGAACCTGAACCTGAGCCGGAGCCGGAGCCTGAACCTGAAAAGAAAGCCCCTGGATTGCCCGATGACCCTCTTTACGACAATTGGGTAAATTTGTCGTCAAAGGAGCGGAAAAAACGCGAGAAGGCATTAAAAAAGAAAGGCCTTCCGATACCTGGAAAGGACATCGAGATTCCACCACCAGAAGCAGAGCCTGCGCTAGAAGCGGCTCCTGAACCCGCTCCTGAACATCCTGTGGAACCTGAGCCTGAGCCAGCTGCTGAGCCCGAGCCAGAACCTGAGCCGGTCGTTGAACCACAACCAGAGCCTGAGCCAGTGGCCGAACCAGTACAGGAAGAACCTGTAGTCGAGGATAGCTGGGGTATCTGGACCTCCTCAAAGGACAAGAAGAAGTCCAAGAAGAACAAGATTGCCGATGACCCGCCGCCCCCTGCCCCAACACCTCCCTCACTAGGCCTGGACCCCGACCCCCCTGTTCCGGAAGAGGTGGCGGAGGATCTCCTATACGATAATGGCACCAAGTCTTCTAAAGGAACCAAAAAGGGATCCTTTGGCGTGGATGAGACTCCCACTAAAGCAGCGCGGGGATTTTGGGCGACGCTCGGTGCAGCCACAATGGGCTCCAGACCAAAGGCTACAAGGAAAAAATCAGAGGAGAAGCCAAAGCTCATTGAACCTGCAAAGGAACCTGAGCCCGAACCGGAACCACCTGTACCTGCCCCGGAGCCCCTTGCTGATCTGCTTGGGGACATTGGGCATGCACCAATGCCTGAAGCGCCCGAGCCGCCTGTCATTGACGAGCCAGCCGCGCCAGCCGAGCCGCCAGCAAAGAGCACCTCTAAGGCCAAGTCATCCGCCAAGCTTTCAGTTGCCGAGCGCATCAAAGCCCTCGAGCAAGCCAAAAAAGAGAGGCTGAAAGAGAAGGCGAAAGCTAAGGAAACCGTACCACCGCCGGAACCCCCTCAGGAAGAACCTGCCGTAGAGATCCCGCCTGAGCCCGTCGAAGCGCCCAAGATCTCTCGGGAGTCTGTGCCGGGAAGCTTCCCAGACGCCTTTGAGGACGACTTCCAGGAACCTCCACCTCCTGCTCCTGAACCCGAGCCGGAGCCATCGGTTGATCCACCGCGTGAGCGTGAGCCTGAGCCTGAGCCTGCTCCAGCCCCGGCTCCTTTGTCGAAAAAAGCCGAGAAGAAGAAAAAGAAGAAGGGTAAGCTTGTGGAGCCCGAGCCTGAGCCGGCACCAGCGCCTGAGCCGGAACCAGCGCAGCCTGAGCCAGAACCAGAACCAGAACCAGAGCCAGCACCTGCGCCTGAGCCTGAGCCTGAGCCTGAGCCCGCACCTGTACCAGTACAGCTCTCGAAGACTGAGAAAAAGAAGAAAAAGAAGGCCAAGGCTGTCGAACCAGAACCCGCGCCACCGGAACCTGAGCCAGAGCCAGAGCGGGCGCTTGGGCCCGAGCCCGAACCGGAGCCGGAGCCTGAGCCTGCTGCTGAGCCTGTAGACACACCTGCCCAGGAGCCAAAGGCCACCAAGAAAACCAAGAAGAGCTCCAAGTCCAGAACGACCGAACCGGCCATGGAGGTACCACCAGTTGGAGATGTACCTGCCGAAGAGCCTGGTGCAGACGCTGGTGGTTGGCCTACTCCTCCACCTGAGCCCGCTGCACCAGGAAGATCAGCGAAGAAAGAGCGCGCTCGAGTTGAGCGAACTCCCGGTGTTGCTTCGTGGGGCTTCTGGGGCGCTACTCCTACTCCTAGGAAATCAGCCCATAGAGAGGTCAGGTCTAGCCGAAGGGAACCTTCATCCGGCGGAGTCGTACGGTCAAAGTCCACCAAACATTCAAGGCGACAAGAAGTGCCTCATGAGGCGGAAAAGACGTCTGGTTCTGACAGAGACAGACGACAAGGGAGCAAAGAGGACCGGGCGACAACCTTTTCCAACTTCATCCTTGGCGGTCCTCCTGCGCCGACCAGAATGAAGTCATCACGTAGACATGGGGCATCCGCGTCTAAGCAGGCATCTAGGCGGCCGTCCATCGACATGAATGAGGCCGCACTCCCAACCCCTCCACCGGATGAGAGATTTAAAGTGTCGGATAAAGCAGCGAGGGTGATGGGGGTTGGTGCATCGAGGCACAAGGAAAGACCACGTGGGACGCGGAGAATATCCAGTAAGTTAACAGTGCCCCAAGCATTTCAAGAGATGCCTAACATAACCTTCAGGCGTACGTGATCCATACGCTATTGATGACGATATTGTCGTGGTCGACCGGGATGAGGTGGACCGCCATTCACCGAAGGAATACTCGAGAGAATCCCGGGGTTCGAGGAAAAGATCCAGTACAAAGGTGAGCTATCATCCTGACCATGTCCTCGTAATGCACCGTCCAAAATTCTAATATCCTCGTCACACCAGTCGCGGTCCAGAGCGTATGAAGATGACGCGGTCATGGTCGAGCCAGATCAACACCACCAAGGGCCAGATGTAATGTCGGGTCCTGATGATCTGGCATTTGTGGAAGCACCGAGGGAACGACGCGTAAAGCGCTCTAATACCTTGCCGAAGAAACAAGACACTGGTGGTCTCATGGGTCTCATCGGCTCGCTCCGAAGGAACACACGCCCTGAAATGCCAGATCGTCGGAAATCTCGGTCTTACCGTGATGAAGATGTCAGGTACATGACGGAACCAGAGCGAGACGAGGCTCAACGATTGAAACAAGAAAGGAGACGCCGCTCCATGAAACCTGATATCGATGATGAAGGTTTCGTTACCGACGGCGGGCCTGTCAGAGGCATCCCAGACGCCGAAGCGGAAGAAGCTGAGGCTAGGAGAGCGGCACGCCGATCACACCGCACATCACGCCATGCGCCTTCTGATCAATTTCGGGAGGATGAGGCTAAGGAAGCCGAAGAAAGACGCGCCAGGCGGAGAGAGCGAGAACAAGCTCGCGAGCGAGAGATGTACGAGAGGCAAATACGAGAAGAGGAAGAGCGAGAAGCAAGGCGTCGAGAGGAAAGGCGAGCCCGACGAGCGGCTCGCGAAGCACAGCGTGCCAAGGAGGAACAAGAGGCCAGGGAGGCAGAAGCCCGCGCCGAAGCTAAAGCTGCAGAACGACGGGAACGGAGAAGACTGCGGGAGGCAGAGATGCTCGAAAACCCAGCATACAATTCAGGATCCAGACAGCGCCCTCCACGTGCTTCTGAGAGAGCACCGGAAGATTACTATCTTGATCACCGTCATGACGTGGAACAAAGACATCGACGGTCTCATCGATCCGTCGACGAACGCGAGAAATCTAGACGGCGAGGATCGAGAGCCCCGGAGCCGGTCAGACCTCCCCCTATGATGTCTGGTGCTCGGAGGGATAAGACCACGTCCTGGGTCGATTCGCAGGCTGTTGATCCTCCGGAGCCCCCTCCAATCGTGCCAACGGTGCTCGATGTGCCACTTCCTCCAGGCGACCAAAACGCACACTCCATCTCGTCGGACGAGGAGGCGCGACGTGCTTTGCGCCGCCGGGCTCGCCGCCGGGCCAGATACCCGGGCCTCGACGATGAGGAGATCGAAGAGCTGCGCGCGCGGAAGCGTGAAGCTCGACGATCTGACCGTGCGAAAAGCAGCTCTGGCAGTGGAGATTATGAGCGGGACCGTGGAATGAGGTCGTACGACGGCCGGTATCCTGCTGTGCCGCCCCCGACCTCTGGCGCAAAGATGTCCAGTTGGTTCAAGAAACTGACCAATCTATGATTTCTTGCTAAGGTTGCTACATTATGACAGTGAAGGCTGAAACGATTTCAGCTTAATGATTGAAATGACGGAATGAATATGGACGACAGAATGATCATTGACGACGATATACCTCGAAAGGCACGATACAATCTTACTGTTATGGAATCCAATATGGCGCCGACTTGCAATAGTTGGTGTGTATAATTAGCAATACAACTCATCCATTACTCTGCTCCCTCTTTGCCAATATGTTTGAATCCATGCTATGGTGCAGGACGGGTTCTCTATTCTATAAAGCAGCTTAGGTGCTCTAGTGATAATCTAGTGTTACAGAGATGCTAAACAATTAAGCAAACTGACTGAAACGAAACCAATGATGCCCAGAATCGCGCTTCCAGCTTCCAGTGCCGCATACTGACTAGATGGCAGCCTCTTCTTTCGAGCCATCTACCTCAACCCGTGTGTTCAACCCATCTTTCTCCCGCCGTCTATTCTCTAAATAAAACCTCCCCCCCTCGTACATGCTCAGATACATACTGAGCGAGACAGCCGTCCACGCAGCGCGAATTGCACCGCCCTTGAAGAGACCTCTGATCCCTTCATTGCGATAGATCTCCTTACCCACCCTGAGCGTTCCCCAGCCAGCCATCTTCTTCTTCGTGCTTTTATTTCCGTCATCATTGTTATTCTCACTGGCCGAAAGCATCATCCTCGTCTTGATCACATCAATCGGGGTCGTCACGACCGACGCGATCATCCCGGACATGGAGGCCGACATCCCCGTCAGCGCCGCCCTCTCCACCACCGGGTCCCACTCCCGCGTCTGCATCTCACCATCCTCCTTGCGCCTCTTCCTCCACTCCACAAGATGCGATCTGAAAACCTCAAACAGGGGGAAATTCAGCCCCGTAAAGGGCAGATTGCGCCCCACCAGCGCCGTGTACCCGCTCCACAACTTCCAGGGCCGATGCTTAAACCGAGCGATAACCTGCGTCATGGCGCTCTTTGCGTCCTGGCCACCCTTGCTGGTGTTCACGTTGGTAACCTGCGCGTTCTGCTTTAAAACCTCGGCGGGCGTCATCATGAGGCAGGCGACCATTTCCGCGGTCGAGGAGGAGATGGCGTGGATGATGGGTTGCGGGAGGGAGTGTGTGAAGGGGAGAGGGTTGTTTTCTGGATTGTGGTGGTGCGTTGAGGCGTTCGTCAGGGTGTACTTGACTGCTTCATAGGTGGTGAAGAAGGCTCCTGCTGTGTCATTGTGAGTTTTCATTCAGACCAAACACACAGAGGAACGGGAGAACGTACAACCTGGTATTGTGGACAGCACCACGCTCCAAACTCCCTGGTATAAGCCTCCGTAGAGAGCGCTCCGGCGCACTGCTCCTGTCGCTGCATCCTTGTAGAGTCGGTTGTAATCGGGCGATTGGACTCGGGTCTTGAGGGTGTCGAAGGGGTAGACAATCAGGTCTACTGTCACTGCGGCAAATGCTCCGGCCTGTAAAACTAGCTTAGCATGCGATATGCAACATAGCCGGTGTCAGATTGAAACGCGTGTCTTGCTCGAGTGTACTAGTGTGACGTAGAGGCATACACCCCAGTATGGAGAAGACTCACAATCCAAATGTCGAGATTACTGTTGTACATAGAGAATGCTGCACGAAAGGCTCTAGGCTCTATTATGATTCTATGAAACGCAGGACAAGACAAATGGAGATATCCAAGACCAGAAATGCATGGCTGAGTGAGCTCATCGTAGCTTGTCGCATTGTCAATCTACCTTATCTAATCGGGTTATCGATTGCAACGATGCATTATGAGGTCATCATCGCTCACGTGCGAAACAGTACCCTAACAAGGTTAGGGTTGGTGCCTGTGCCTGTGACTGCCTGTCGATCTAAAACATACAGCAAGAAAAGTCCAAACAGTAGGCTATACGTCAACTCAGAAGCGATGTGCTCTCAGCTCATTCCCGCAACTCTATTCGTCAAATGGAATAAGCAAACAGGAGACATATTAACAGTGGAATATAAGAATTTTTCCTGCCTACGCCATAAGGTCATGCAAGTCCCAAAATCCCCATAGATTGAGATAAATCATCACGAGCCCGGCCACACGCTTATTTGGCGGTCTCACCGGGCAACAGGTTGCCCTTCACAGCAAACATCTTTCCAGTCGTGGACGAAACAAAGCTGTCAATCTGGCGCGCGTACTGATCCACCTGCCGGCTGTTCAGCATGCTCTCGAGGCGGCTAGGCTCCTGGGGCAGCTTGAACAGGCGCTGCCATTCGTCCTCGGGCAGAAGAGGCTGCTTGAGCGCCGCGCGGGTGGCGTTCTCCTGCTTGCGCTTCTGCTGCCAAGCGCTGATTCTCTGCTGCTCGCGCGCGAGCGAGCGCTGGTAGTACTGGAAGTTGTTGGTCTCGGTGTGGTGAGTCTCGATGCTGTCCAGGAGCAGGTCGCAGTTCTTCTCCAGGAAGGGGTCGATGCTAAGGGTGAGGTTGTCGTAGTTGGGGGCGAGAATAGACGACTTGACGAAGGGTCCGGATTCCAGGGCGGCCAGCGATGGGGGAAGATCCGTAGGAGCCGGGATGTTAGGGGTCTGAAGCTGGTGGATGAAGGAGGTGATCAGGTGAGAGTTGTGAATCTCCACGGGAAGTTCAACAAAGATATCCTGGTATCTCAGGCCGGACTTTTGCAACCTATCATTCAGTTAGCATCAATCGCTCTCAGCCTCATCAAAGCGTCGTTTGACGATGGGAAAATCGTAGATATACTCCTCTGAGGTGAACTTGTTCTCCTTAAAAGCCGTCATAAATCTGGGAGACAGGCGGAATGCTCTGAGGCTCAGGCTCCCCTGAGAGCTACGGCTGACGTCGTGCACGAGAGCTACTGTCCGCTCGTTCATTTCCTTCTGGTAAAAGAACTGGTTCTCGATCACGTTCATGTTGACGAAGTTGCCCATGTTGGCGCTCGTATACCAACCGACGTTGTTGGCGTCCACGTTGACCTCTCGAAGCATACGGATCATCTCCGCCTGGTAGACGGTATTAGCCTTAGCGCGAGGAGCGGCGGCAGCAGGGTTGGCAGCAGCATTGTCAAAGTGTGACTCGGGAGGCACCTCGACGACGGGGAACGGGAAGCTGTTTGTGATTTCCAGAGTTCCACCAACATCCATGCCAACGATCGATCCGGTCGCTGTCGTCGGGAAAGTTTGAGAGCAGTGCTTCATAATCTTCATGACCACCTGTAGACGTGTCGCATGAGTATAAATTCTTCATTGTCCAGCTTGGATAAAGTGGGGTGGGATTTTTCCTGGGGAAGATGATCATACCAAGGCCTCGACCTTGACGGCCGTGAGGGGGGTTTCGTTCCTATATAAAGCGATTAGCCGAAGGCGCTCGATATCATTTCCGCGGTATCATCACTTACTCCGCCATGTTGGATATAGCAGGCCGTGGAATGCTTTTGACAGCGACGATGGTTGATAGACGGCGTTGGTTTGTGTGGATGAATTGAACAATTTCCCACCGCCTAAGGCCAGAATAGGTTTAGCGTGCCAAGACCGCTTGGGAATAGAGACAACAACATCGCTCTGCTATTCCTTCCTCCATGTACTCGAGATTTCAGATTATGGATGGATGTACGACTAATTTCTTCATCGCGTTAATGACAGAGCTCAAGCATTTAGTGTGCACAAGCATTATGGTCTGAATTTGGGAGTATTGAGCCGCTGCACCGTTAGACACCATGGTCACTAGTAGTCGGCAGTGGCTATGAGCCTATGCCACCTCGGCCCCTCTTGATCGATAACCCATTTTCAGTCTACTTGACATTCTCGTTACTTGTACAGTGCATCGAGAATTAGCTCCTGGACACGAATATAACGTCGTAATGCCTACGGAAACACTTCAGTACAGAGATCACAAGCTCCAAACAGTGACAATATCCACTGTATCAGACAACCTCAATGCAGGCTATTGGGTGATGTATACAACCCAGACTCCCCAGACCTCAAAGGAACCTCGATTGACAATACGGTGAGCAAGCCTGATCCACGGCGGAGCCTGGAGAGACCCAACACAAACAGCCGCCTCATACGTCGCGCCGGCAGAGTCCATCCTCACCACATCCCCAACATACACCTCCACGACCCTCCCACACATCGCGGCCTTCGCATCGATCGAGTACCGATTGAGTGCCCATCCGGGTTACCCACAGAATCCCGATCACACGGATCCTACTGAATACCGCAATGCCAAACATCCAGACCATATCCGCGACGTGCAAGCAGCCCTGGCTCTTCTGCAGCGCAAGTATGGGTTCGGGAGCAAGTATATCCTCGTCGGGCACAGCGCTGGTGCGACTTTGGCCTTTCAATCGGTGATGGGGGCTTGCCGAGACAGCGCTGCTGCTGTCGCTTCTCCTCCGGTCGCGATACTGGGGATGGCGGGTATTTATGATTTACGACTTCTGCGTGATACCCATCGGAATATTTCTGCGTATCAAGAGTTTATTGAAGGGGCTTTCGGTTCTGACGAAGCGCTGTGGGATGCCGCTTCCCCTGCCTCTGTGAAAGGCTCTGAGGGAGTTGAGGGAGGATGGACGTCTGGTCGACTGGCTGTGCTGGCGCACTCGGCCGAAGATGGGCTTGTGGACGCTGCCCAGCAGCAGGCGATGCAAGCTGCGCTAAGTCGCTGGGAGGACAGCACACCGCAAGGTAGTGGCCAGAGACGAGTTGAAATGCTCTCTCTCAAAGGCGACCATGATGACGCCTGGATGAAGGGAGACGAGCTGGCAAGGGCCATTGCTCATACGTTAGCGGAACTACAGAAACAGTAGCGTTGCCTCAGCAGTGCTATATTATGCTCTAATTTGAGGCTCTACTGACTTGTCCTACGCTACGATTCTACAAGATAGAGGAATAGGTCAAAGAAGCGTCTGCTATCACGAGTCATGTCATGAATTACAAAAATCATTGCTTCATCTCGATTAACGTCGGGAGGGATGTCCTAGAACAAGGCAGAATGTGAAAGTAGTACACATTAGAAGGGAAAAGGGCAAAGCCGTTCTCAAAACTCGCCAACGCCCACCCAGTGTTCATCATCATGATTGTCAATTACATGCAAATGAAAATGAAAACTCCGTAATACGCCTGGTATTCGGTTAAAGCCAGCTGGCGAGGAAGTATCAGAAAGATGAAAAAGACCACCCGGCGCCAATTGCGACAGTCCAGAAGCGCATCGCGAGATGTGCAGAGCTCTTTTGGAGAGATGCTAAAGGGCGATTCAGTTGCCGAGGTCCATACGACCTGAGGCAGCGTCACCCAAAAGCTTCTCTTCCTTAACTTCAGAGGCCTGGTCTTCACCCTCAGAATCTTCCTCATCGTCATCCTCCACCTCGCTGTCTTCGGCGTATTTCACCTCCACACCGGCTTCGTTAAGACGGCTTCTCATCTGCTCACGATAGCGATCCTGCCAGCGAGCCAGAGCGGCACTGGCATGCACGCGGAAACCGTAGATGCGAGGTTCATAGCGGCGAGTGCTCTTGGGAGGAACCAGATTGGGGAACACCTGAAAGAAGATGCTATGAAAAGAAGAACCGAAGTAGGCGCCGTCGATAGAGGAGTGACGAGAAGACTTAGGATTGTAGATGTCCTCGCATTTGGCGCAGTAGAGTCTGACAGTGCTCTGGTTGGCAATATCGTGCAAGCCCATCGGGAGGAGGTGCTGACCCTCGCACAAAACGCGGGGGCATTTGCCGAAGTCGCCATTTTTGTACTTTTCAGCCTAAACGAAGAAAGAGAAGGTCAGCTGTCGAGCCTATAATCAAACGTGATATCCTGGTGACAATAACACATACCATTTTGCCAAGGCCACGCGTAGTGACAATGTATCTTGCGTGAACCAGGCCGTAGAGATGACGGGCGGACTTCTCGATCTGCTCGCGTAGATCATCATCCGCGTCGAGATCAAAGACGTCGGTCACAAGATCCAGCGCATACTGGTAGTAAGGAACTTCAGTGTTGAGGCCGGTAAGATTGAAGCGATCGGTCAAGTATTCCTCGTCGATCTCACAGAAATACTCGTTTCCGCGGGAGGAGATAAACTGCGTGGTATACTGTGAGCAAGGCATTGCAGATGGAGGATTATTGCGTCCCCAGAAACAGAGGTTGTAGAATCTTTCATTGGATTCATTGCCCCGAGCGTGAGCGAAAAGATCCTCACTAGTCGAAGACTCGGCCATCGTGAAAGGGAAGGGTTAGAGGATGTAGAAGAGGGTTGGTGGATGCGTGGTAGGATGATTCTGGTGCGCATGAGGCGAAATTGAGCTCCAGCGAGCTCTCTAGGAGAGATCTCAATGTTTTCACCAGCCGCAATTGCATCGTGAGGGCAGCCACGACCCATCTCCTGAGATGAACACCCAAGCCGCATCGCCCCCCCAACAGTACTTAGGTGGAAAGAAACAGATTCAACTTACCCAATCTCTCCAGTAGCTAGTGTAATCGCTATCAGTCTCACTGTTAAAGTCCTCCATCATGTTTACTATTTAAGTCGACGACGAAATGAGGGGGAAGAAAGTGGTGTTGGTTTGCTCTGCCTGTAGCAGTTACTGAGAGAAGGCTGGATTTGGCAGCCCCAAACCAACAGAGCTCTCAGAACCGTACAGTATGTGAAATTCTCCTCAGAGCATAGAAAAGCCAGTTCTCAATGGTGAACAGCGATCAAAGGGTTAGGAACAGAGAATATAAGATAATGTCAGGTAGTAGTCGCAGTGTGTGTCTCTTCTCCATTCTGTTCGACTGTTATCAGTGGATCACACTCTTCTGGTTAGCGCGGGGTTAGCGGTGAACATTTTGCCTGACGGGCATCACCGCCTTCATCATTTCTCTTTCTGAGGGGGTCTCTGATTCTCTGATCCTACTATGTTGTGTTCTTGCATTACTCGTTAGAGAATTTGAGGAGAGAAGTTGCATATCTTGACCCACGCAATACTCCGAGGTCATAGTCGGCGAACTGAAGTGCCATATACAAAATGCTTCTGCTGAGAAGAGTATGTAAAGAGAGAGTATCCAACCCAACCACCCAGTGGCCCTCTGCCCTCGTCTAGAACGAGGGGTTGGCGTACCGAAGAAGCTGTTCAAAATAGGCCTGTGTTGTATTCGTTATTACAGCACAAATCAGGATGAGGTTGTCTTGGGAACATACCTGGAACCAGGTGCCGGCTTCAGGGGCTGGTTTGAGAGCGTCCTCGAGTCCACATTTCGCATCGTAGCGTTTAGCAGAGGCGTCCGAGGTGCCATCACTCTCACCACCGGGCTTAACCCAGACGAAAGCATCCACCAACTTGTCTCCTGTGTCAGTGGTAGGCCGGACTCCGAAGCCAGTGCCAATCACATTGCACCAGTCACCCCATGCAAGCTGTCCAGTGGGCTGCTTTCCGTTGCGGCCTATGAAGGAACCTCGTTAGGCGATGGGTCAGGTGGGTAGCATCGTAGGACTTACCGGTGTCGACGATGAAATGAGCATTAAATCCAGCGCTGGCCAGCTGTGGAGCGAAGTTGTTGATATAGCTCTTCTCCTCGCAGACAGCATTTCCTTGGGTGTAAGAGGGGCACGACGTGGCGACGAAGGCATTGTAATTAGCCACGTTGGTCACAAGACCACGCACAGAAGCAGGAGAACTTGCGTTCTTGTACACGGATGCATACAGTTGGGCTGCTGGGCCAATGTTCGCAGGCCAGCCCAGCCATCCAGCATGTCCTGTACAACATACTCAGCAAGGCGTCCTACACAACGATCACAGGGGACGCACGCAGCCAACTTACCAGCGTCAAGATACATCGCAACATTAGGGGCACTGAGTTTCGTCAGGGCATAGTTGGTACACTCCAGATATGCATCATGAGCGTTCGCACACTTGGGCACTGCCATGTTGGTCACGAGGTTGGCCAAGCTGTCAGGCTCTGCTTGAGGTCAGAATCGATTACGAAGGGTCTCCATCGGCAACGGCGCGGACTCACCAATGACGAGGATAATCTGGGTATCAGGATAATTGTCGATGTGCTCGCGGATGGAGTCGATGTAGGCCTTGTACTTCTCAATGCCACCATCTGCAATAACCAATTCTCCATTGCTGGCCAAGGCAGCGCAGTCACGATCCGGAAGGTTGTATACAACGAAAATCCCAGCAATTGGAGGGCTTGCTGCTGCATCGTTCTTGGCTTTGATGTCCTTGAGGTATTCGCCCATTTTCGGAACTTTGGCGGTGGTATCCCTGAACAATCTGTTAGGAACGGACTCGCAGAAGTACTCAATGCACGGTATAAGCCTACATCCAAACGAAAGATGGCACTTTCGCAACGGCACTTGCCTTGGCGACCAGAGAGCCGGGCAACGAGGGAATGGCAAGATTCTCAACCTCGGACGCATAGTAAGGATTCACATAAAGCTGATGTCCCTCAAAGGGGTTACCACCTGCTGCTGCCGTGGTCGCAGGGGGCTCCGTAGTGGGAGCGGGAGAGGTAGGAGTGCCAGTTGGTTGAGGCAAAGCTCTCACTGCAGAGAGCAGGAAGGGTGAAAGAGCAAAAAGAGACCGCATATTGACGGCTTGAAGTTCCAGAAGAAACTTTGAATCTTCAGCTGAGAAGCCCGTGTGTTGCGTAAAGTGGAGTGCAATGTCTGCTGTACAATGCCTGACTCTCATGTTGATGGTCTTCGAGACCCTTTTATACCTCTTCTGTCTTCCTCTTCATAGTTCATGTTCCATGCATCCGGCACCCCGGTTGCCCAAAGAGACAAGGAGTTAGCTGAGATATTCTGCTAGAACTGAAACATACAGAGAGCCGGACTAATTGGGCCAGGACTGAAGAAAGGCATCAGAAGGACTCTTTCCAACTACTCTTGGCACATTCTGTCCAATATCGTGAAAGGATGCCGACCCTCTAAGGGCACGATACGGACTCTCCGTCACTGAAAGGGCTCATCATTTGATGATCGTCGTACCTTCGGCACATAGGGGGTTACTGCATGCTCCTTGGCTCGCTTCCGCCACCTGCCATACCCTCAATGTGTTGAAGAGCCTGATGATATTTAGCCGGACTGGTCCTGCCGCTTGTTGATATGCCCAGCGGCCTAGTGAGGATGTCCCCTCACAGTGTTCAGACCCCCTCGCAAGTCTTGGAAGCACCTTTCGAGCAATCGAATACCAATTGGGGATCGTTCACGGAAAAATTACCGGTCCAAATCAGATGATCGTCGGGGAATTTTTGATGAAGGAGCACGGCGTGAGGAATTGAAAGCGCAGGAAATCGCGGGGGTGGAAGTGCGTCAAAACGGGGCCTGTTTCATCTATGGTGATTTGCTCCTTCAGGACGCGAGGGAACAATCTTCCGTCTCACCGTGAGAAGGAGAGTATAGATATTTCGACTTTGTACACGAAGCACCGAACTGCCGATCCTTTTGGGTAATCCCCTACACTTCCCGCACGGTTTGGGACCATGACCCATGCCCATGTGAGATGGATGAGGCTATCATACTGCGCTGCCAAGATGCGGAGTTTTGAGTCCAATCCAGATCCGTTCAGAACATGATCTTCTGATGAGTGTGCGGCCCGAATCCCCGTGGGGAAGCGGGCATCTTTGAATATATGAACATTGTTCTTCTTTGAGAGCGAGATCCGCGTACTCAGCGTACTCATTGATTCCGCAATTGTCAGGTCAAAACATGGAATGTCATTATTGCGGAATCCTTCCTAAACTCTGATATAGTCAGGAGTATTTGTTGTCTCAGCACTAAGATGGCTGGCATAATTAGGCTCTCAGAATAGGCAGATGGCGTTGC